GACTTGTCAAAACAGATTCTGCACTGCTAAAGAAACAATCAACTGGGGGCACAAGAAGCCCACAGAATGGAGAGAATCTTTGCTGGGTATACCCTGGAAGAGGATTAATGCCCAGAATATACAAAGAACTCGAAAAACAAAGAGTCAAAAAAGCAAATGTCCCATTTTAAAAATGGGCTAGGGATCTGAACAGAGAGTCTCTAAAAAAAGAAAAATAGCTAAGAAGTTGAAGGGACACTAGCCCTCTCGATGCAGACGGCTCTGGCAAGCCTTGCCCTTTTACCCATTCCTTCTGCCTTGCTAAAAACCATTTGATTACATTCCTAAAGCTGGCTACCAAGGTCTAGTCCCTTATTTAGCCTCTTTCTTCTCCTGAGGCTACCAAAGTCCAGCAATAAAAAGTCTCCCTTTGGTTCACTTTATTAGCATGCCCAGTTAAAATTGAACACCTCATCCTAACATGGGGTTTCCCATTTTATCTTTATAAATCACCATTTTCCTATATGCCAGGTCTGTCTCCTCTCTATCCAGAGGCGGTCGCTTGTCCCTCTGGGTGATATGCCCCTTCCTCCTTTCCCTGGTTCCTGTCTCCTTCTCCCTCATCCCCATCTCCATTACCACCACATCCTAGCCCATTCTAACACAGACCCTCCCCTCTCATTTGCTGCTGTTTTCTGCCTGAGTCAGAAAGAAGCCACTTCAACTTTTCTTCCCTGTTTAATAAAGGATCTCTCTGTGTTTGGGTGTGACTTGTGCCTAATCCAGACCCTGGGAGGGAGCCCCAACTGTGTGGGAGTCAAAACAACTTTGAGATTTCATCTTACCCCAGTCAGAATGGAAAATTTCAACAACTAAGTTAAAGTGGTAGAAGGGATGTGGGAAAAGGGGCGCCCTCACTCACTGTTGCTGGGATTACAAACTGGTCTAGCCACCCTGGAAATCAGTGTGGAGAATCCTCAAAGAAACTAAAAATATTTCTACCATATGAACCAGATATACACGCTCTGTCAGGTGTCAGGATTCAGCATCCTACAAGTATCCACAGATACTTGCTCAGCATGTTCACTGATACTGTATTCATAACAGCCAGAAAATGGAAACAACCTATGTCCTTCCATTGGCAAATAGATAAGGAAAATGTGATACAGATATACTATGGAATATTGTCCAGCTGTTAAAAAATAAAATTCTATATAAATACATGGAAGTATGAAATGTTATATCAAAGAAAAGCCCAAGACTTATGGCTTCTATGATAATATATCATGTTCCCTAATAAACTTGCCTGAGGATCAGAGGACAGAGCCAGTCACCAGATTAGACATAGAGGTCAGGCAGTGATGGCACATACCTTTAATCCCAGCACTTGAGATCTCATGCCTTTGCTTGAGAAGCACACATCCCTTTAATCCCAGGAAGTAATATGGCAGTGTAGAGAAAGGTGTATAAGGCGTGAGGAAACAGGAACTCACTCTCTTTAGGCTGAGGATTTCGTAGAGGTAAGAACTAATGACTGGCTGTCCTGCTTCTCTGATCTTTCAGCTTTCACCCTAATATCTGGCTCTGGGTTTTTTATTAAAAGGCCATCTAAGATTTGAACAACAGCTTCCATAATGTAGTCTAAGAAATGTTCTGAGAATTAACATCAACCCAAGTTTAGAGGAATATACTTTTAATCCCAGCACATGAGAGGCAGAAGCAGATGGACCTCTGTGAGTCTGAGGCCAACTGGTCTTCATAGTAAGCTCCAGGCCAACCAGAGCAACATAGTGTGACCTTGTCTCAAAAACCAAACATATCTAATATCAATCTTTCCAAAGTTGCCCCATAGTAATACAGGTTAAGCATCCATAATTCAAATATACAAATTCCAAAATCGGAAATTTACTGAGTAACTGACAGGACACCCCAAGTGGAAAATTGCATACTTGATCTCATATGTTGAATTATAGTCAAAAGCCAGGCACACTAAAAGCATTGTATAAATTTCCTTCAGTCCTTATGTACATGGTTGTATACCAAGCACCACTGAACTCATGTTTAGACTTTGTTCCCATATCTAAAATAACTCATTATATGTATGCAAATGGTCTGAAATCTAAAATAGATTGTTATCTCAACCTCAAATAAAGAATACTAAACCTGTTTTGCCTTCATATGTGTCTGATTTATCTCAGTTAACAGATGTCATCTAAGCTCACCAATGTTGCTACAAATGTCAGAATTCCTTTCTTTTTAAGGGATGAATAGTATTGATTACATATATAACATTTTATCTGCCCATTCATTCATGTCTGAATACCTAGGTTGCTTCAATATCTTGCTGTGATGAATATTCTGCAATAACAGGGGTGTCATGGTTGTTGACAACTTGACACAAAACTAGACATAACTGGGAAGAGAAAAAAATCTCAATTTAAGAACTGGATTCATCAGACTGTGCATTCTGGGCATGTCTGTGGGGCATTTTCTTAATTGCTGAGAAGGAGGTCAAGCCCACTCTAGGGGGTGCCATTCCTAAGCACGTGGATGAGGACTGTATAAGAAAGGTAGTCAAGCAAGCCAGGGAAACAACCCATTAAGTAGCATTTCTCAGTGGTTTCTGCTTCAGGCTCCTTCCTTGAATTCTTGCCTTGACTCCTCTTCCTCTCCCAAGTTGCCTTTGGTCAGTTTTTTTCACAGCAACAGAAAGCAAAGCAAACAAGGACAACAGGAGTACAGAAAAATCTTCATCATACTGATTCAATTTCTTTGCATACATACCCAGATGTATATTCGCTGGGTTATATATAGGGTAGTTCTATTTGGGGGTAGTTTTTTGTCTTTTGAGTTTTTTATTTTATTTTATTTTATTTAGAAACCTTAATATTGTAACAAGACACATAAATGACCAAAAGTACAAATCTTTAGTAGACTTCCAAGAAATGCAAATTAAAATCCCAATGAGGAGCTGGAAAAATGATGCCATGATTAAGAGTATTCACTCACTGCTCTTTCACAGGACCAGAGTTTGGTTTCCAGCTCCCATGTTGGGTGGCTCACTATTTCCTATAACTCCAACTCCAGGAGACCTGATGACCTCTTCTGGCCTCCATGAGCACCCACAGGCATGTGTACACATATACATACACACACAAATAATTAAATAAATGTTTTTTTAATAAAAAACTCAATGAACTATCACTTCATACTGTTAAAGCAGCCATTGTAAAAGCATGCTAAGGATCACTTCCCTCAGTGGCATAGCACTAGTCTGGCATATATAAGTTACCAGCATATATGTTTTCCTGTACCACCAAAATACAAAAGAAAACAATGCTGAACTAACTGGCCATGAGGACTCCCAAAACACATTCATTGCATTCACCAGCATCTTGACAAATGCCCAACAAATCATACCAAGGCAAACCACAATCAAATGCTTAAAACCAGCAATAAAGAAATCTCAAAAGATCAAGAATGAGACTACTGCAGGCTTGTTGACAATAACTGGAAAACCCGGAAAACAAAGGCATGTTTTCAAAGCTTTAAGAGAAAACCATTTCTAGCCTAAGAGTCTATACAAGTTTTCAGTCGCATGTACTATAAATGCATTATAAAATCATCCCCTTCCCCACCCCTTGTCCCTCTTTCTCCTTCTCCTCTCCCCATCTCAAACTAACCCAAACTGGTGTCAAACTCATAATCCTCTACCATCAGCCCCCTTCATGCTGGGATTACAGGTGTAAGTTACCACACTGCTGATTACATTTTCAGACATACCCAATCTCAAGCAATTATCGTCTATCAAGTTCTTCTCTGAGACTATTGAAAAATACATCTGACCAAAATGAGGATGAAAACTGAGAAAATACTTATGTACAGGAGGGCATAGAGCTCCATACAGGATTAAGGTTCATAAATCAATCTCTGGAATGCTAGGGATAGCATCTGGGTAGGAAAGCCCTCTACAGGCTCTTGTGGTGCACACATGTCCCCTCTGCAAACATTATTCTGTGGGATTCTAAAATATGTCGTGTTAAGTCTAGCTGAAGGAAGCAGATGACTAGGGCCATGGTTCCTAAGATTACATCAGGCAGCTAGCCCTTTCTGCTCTTTCTCTGTTGCTATGTGACACCCACCAGATACTTCGGCCAATCATGAGACCATGCAAGCTCTGAGACAGAGAATCCAAATAAACACTTTCTCCTTGAAGTTGTTTTTTTGGTTTTTGTTTTGTTTTGGTTTGGTTTGGTTTGGTTTTTCGAGACAGGGTTTCTCTGTGTCGTTTTGGTGCCTGTCCTGGATCTCACTCTGTAGTCCAGGCTGGCCTTGAGCTCACAGAGATCCGCCTGGCTCTGCCTCCCGAGTGCTGGGATTAAAGGCATGCGCCGCCACTGCCCAGCTCTCCCTGAAGTTTTTACCTGCGGTCTGTCACAACTACAAAACAGTAACTAGCACAGATGGTGAGGGGAGACCCCAAGGTGACAACACCCACAACTAGTGAGAATGTTATATTCAAACTGGAGTGGCTAGGAGGTTGAGTTCTAAGAAAATAGAAGGGATAAAATCCCTACTGTGTCCAAACAGCTTAACAACAGAAACAAACAACAGTGACAAATTAATTATTAGCATTAAATTAGGTTAAGTGAAAAAATAATAGTATGCCAAAGGAAAACAAAAAAAGCTATGAAAGAAATAATAGTACCCTTGGTCATCAATATTATTGATGTGAAAATGTTGAATACTAGTCACAAACCTCACTATATCTGTACTGGGAGACTACAAGGGCAGCACAAGGAACAGATGGATGGATGTGAGCTCAGTCCAGGAGATCCTGTCACTTTAGAGATGAGCATGAAGAACAAAATCCTCTAGCCAGAGTTAAAGTGGCTGCCCTGAGAAGGTGGGGAGTTGAAGAAGTGGCTGCCCCGAGAAGGTGGGTTAAGATTAAGTGAGAGAAACGCTTCACTCACCCAATGTCATAAGGAGAACAGAAGAGTTCACACAATTATTCTCACCTCAGGGGGCTCACAAAGCCTGTCATCGTTTGTCAAAGAATGACCACTTGCACAAGAAGCACAATCCGAGATGTCCACGGCCCCCTCACCATCGTCACATTCACTGGGCCCTCCAGGACCTTCCATGTCACTGTTGACCTCCCAGTCAATCAACTGTAATTCATCTAAAAAAATACAATTTTTAACTTTGTTAATTTTACAGCCCTTTAATATTTATTTTGTAAAACTTACTCTCAATGGTTGATGCACGCATAGCACTGGATGATTTTTATAAATACCCAAGTGAGCACTGTACTCCTACTCTCACCTCTGGTCACTATGCCTCCCAATTCTCACCCCCACCTCAAATATAAGTGAACTACTGTTATTCATTTGTTTTTTAATCCTTGTAAGTTCTCCAGCACGTTCAAGAAAACAAGATACATATTATTCCTCCTTTCTTACACATCTTGACATTTCTTTAATTAAGATAACAGCTATCTCCTTCTTCTACATAATTCAGTAGTCTAGCGCATCAACAAACCATGGTTTGTTTATATAGTCCATTGTTAGAAATAACTTTTTCAAGGCTAGAGAGATGGCTCAGTAGTTAGGAGTAATGACTACTCTTGCAGAGAACCCAGGTTCAATTCCTAGAACCCACACAGCTTTTAAAAAGTCAGTAATTCCTGTTCCAAGTGGATCCAATGCTCTCTTCTGGCTTCCAAGGGTACTGCATGCATGTGGTGCACAAACATGCATGAAGGCAAAACATCCATATAAATAGAATAAAAATAAACCTGAAAAAAATAAATTTTTGAAATTAAAAGAAATAACTTCTTCAAGTATCTCTAAAAAGAATTTTTTCCAGAAGTATCTTTCATCAATAAGGAATTAAACTAATTTAGATTCATTTTACCTCATAATCTCATTACAACTTTAGCAAATTTTTAAGACAGATAAATTATGCACATGCATTACATGACCAAATGTACTAAATCTAATCTGCTATGCCTAAATAACTGAAAGTAGTTATCACAGATGGACTGAACTGTGAGGCACAATACATAACATAAAGCTTTCCTATAGTTCAAAGTACAAATACTCAAAGAGCTAAGATAATGGATCTATTTACATCTCACTTAATGGAAGGGCATAGACTCTCTTCTTCCACTAAAGCGAAGGAATAGTTCATTAAAAATGTGCCAGATTTAGTACCTGGCTGGAACTTAAAGTGTTAAAGAAAAAAAAATAATAATAGTAAAGTTAAAATACAGATGAGGCTGGAGAGATGGCTCAGCCATTAAAAGCACTTGCTGCCCTTACAGAGAAATCAGGTTGTTCCCAGCATCCACACAGTAGCTTACAACTCTGTAACTCAAGTTCGAGATACCCTCTTCTGACCTCCACAGGCACCAGGCACTCATGTGGTGCAGTTACATACATGCAGGCACTCATATATACACACAAAATAAAGTAACAAATAAGATATGGGGCAAAATTTAAAATAACTTTTTTATAAAGCTGGGCATAGTAGAACACACTTTTAATCCCAGCACTTAGGAGGTAGAGGCAGGTGGATCTCTGTGAGTTTCAGGACAGCCAGGGCTGTTACAGAGACCCTGTCTTGAAAAACTAAATTAATTACTTAATTAATTTTATTAAATAGATAAATAAATAAATGAATAGCTTTTTTAGTCTGGTAAGGTCTGAGAAGATATGGTAAAAGTCCACTATACTAATTACAAAAAAATTAGAGGTTAAATCACCAGTGAAAAAGTAGGCCTTTACTTCTCACAAGGAAGCCAGGCAGGGTAGTGCACAACAAATTCTCTGAGCTGCTGCATTATCACAGCAGGAAGTCGTGGTGAGACAGAGAAGAGCACACACAAAACCAGACCTGCCACCAGCACCACACACCTGAGGAACACCCATCACAAACCCTGGCTTTCACTCCACAGAATGAGTGTCTTAGAAGGGTCTGTCATACCAATCCAGATGTCAACAGTCACGATAAAGAAATGGAAGAGAGACAACAGTATTTACTTTGAGGAACCCACAGAAAAACAACATTGCAATGTGGTGAGTGAAATTAAGTGATACACCAGAAACAAAATGGGGATTCTGTTACTAACCATAGTAATCCCATTCACTTTACAAATGATGACCGGGTCTTTAATAAACTAAGGGGCTTTGTAAAAGTTCTAAAAGACGAAATTATCTGGGTATATGTTCATGTTTGGGGGCGGGGTGGGGGGGCGCACATGTGTACATATGAGTACGTGCATGTGCAGACCAGAGTCAAGCCTGGGTGGTGTGCCTCAGGCACTGCCCTACATATTTTCTGAGATGGAGTCTCTCACTCACCTGTAATTTATTAAGAAAGCAAGACCTTCCTGCCACTGAGCCCCTGGGATCCACCGAGCTGCCTCCCTAATGTTGAGATTCCTGCACCACCATGCCTGGTTTCTGTTTTATTTTGCTTTGTTTATAGGGTTTCACAGTACAGCCTTGGCTGATCTGGAACCTGCTATGTAGACCAGGTGGCCTTGGACTCACAGATCCTCCCAAGTGCTGGGATTAAAAGTGTGTCACCACACCAGGGCTTATGACTTTAAAACCACAGGTTCTGGGTGTTGGACTCAAATCTTGTTTACCAACTGAACTACCTCCTCAAGCCCAAGAAGATGAATTTTTAAGAAAAGAAAAAAAAAATTTTTTTTGACAATTTTAACTTCGAGTTCTTCCTTCTTAAACCCAATTCTGGACCCTGTAATCAAGACATTCTAATCCTATGTCTGGGATGTTATTTGTAAAGGAAATGAAGAAAGGTTTGGCAACCAGTATACAATTAAACAGAGGCATTCCTAGGTCTGAATTATCAACCAGAGCACTTATAAATGTGCCTCTCTTCACGTGACCTTTTATAAGTCCCAATCATCTAATAAAATGAAGAGATTTCTTAGCTCATGAGATAGAGTATGTATAAAAAGAAGTAACATACTTAGCACCCAGCTTTGTGTCTTAAACAAAATAAAATCGCAATAACTGTAGTATTTGTCATTCATTAAAGGTTTAAAAAAAATAGATGACTAGGAAGAGAGAACTGAAAAATGGAGACAGTCCAGCATGGCTTCAAATACTCCAAAGGATCATTTACTCTTTACTACCTGAGGATTAACTTTATAAGAAAAGTCAGTAAGGTGTTAAATAATCTCATTTTTTAAGTATTCTAGTTTCTAATTTATCGGCTAGTAAGGATGCACATACACTTCTGTGTACGTGTATGTAGAGGCCAGAAGTCAGTGTCAGGTATCTTCTGACATCACTTCCAACCTTATATGTTGAGACAGAATCTCTTCTTAAGTGGATGATTTGATGGCCTGGCTGGTTAGTATGCAGTAGTGATCTTCCTTTCTCTTCTGTAGCAGTGCTGATGCACACTGTACCCAGCTTTTTTTTTTTTTACATGGCGGCTAGTGATCGAGATCAGGTCCTCACACCTGTGCAGCAACATTTTAGTGATGTAGTCATTTCCCCAACCCCTAATTTTTTGTTTCCTGGGACAAGATATCAATAAGGAACCAAGCATCTTGGAACTCCAGATGTAAGCCAAGCTGGCTTTGAACTCATAACTATCTTACTTCTCAGTCCCTTAAGTGCAATGTTAGTTCATTTCAAATAATTAGCCCAGAGCATGTGTCCATTTACAAATAGAATGTTAAAACCTACTGAATATCGTTTTCAGTAGAAGAGGGCAGCCACGTTTTAAACAGCAGTTTTATTAAGATATAATTAATATAAAGCACAATTTTTAATATTGAAATCCTGTTCTAAATCATGTAAAAGATTAGCCAAGAGTCTTATCACAGTGAGTTTCAGTCAACAAAACTAAATTACTAATTTAAGAATTATCAGCTTACACACAATGTAAAATACTACCCTATCAGATAACTACTAAAATGTCAGTGGTAGTTGCCAGAATGGCACTCAAAGTGGCCAATGGATTTTAAGCACTTTCCAGAAATGTCTGAGCAAACCTAACTTTGCTGGAATAACTAAACTGAACTATCAGAGTTAAAGCAACAAGCTTATTTTGAAAGCAATAGTGCTAATTTTGAGAAGTTTTGTTTTAATATAAACACAAAACACTATAAAGTATCATCAGAACTGAAACTACTAAGTTACACTTCTACTACATACTGATTGTTGTAGTATTTATTCATTAATAACAAATTAGCCAGGAAGAAGCATGGGTGTGGCATTGCTTAGGAACTAGGAGAAGGCTTGGCATTAAAAAGTAAAAAGAGAAGAGCAACTAAATCTGAGCGAATCAAACCTAACATATTAAGTACAATGAAACAGAAAAAAAAAGAGAAAGAAAGAAAAAAGGAAACACAGGAAGGAGAGGCCACATAATGTAGAGCGAAGTTTCTCTGTGTCCCCTCAGGCCTCGCAGTCACGATGAATCTCTCCCACCCACGTTCCCACAGCCGCTTATAAAATAATTACACAGAGGCTTATATTAAGTGCAAAGTGTATGGCCTATGGCTTCAGCTTCTTGCTAGCCAGCTCTTTCATCTTAAATTAACCTACTCCTATTAATCTATATGTTGCCACGTGGCCGTGGCGTTACCCATCTTATTGCTCCATCAGCAGCGGGCTGGTGTCTCCTCCCACTTCACCCTTCTTCTCCCTATATCTCGGCTTGGATGTCCTGCCTGGCTGTAAGCTTTCTTGCCATAGGCTAAAACAGCTTTATTCATTATCCAATGGGAGCCACACCGCATACAGAAAGACATCCAACAGCAACACAGTGGTACAGGTTTGTAATCTCAGTACTTGAGAGGCAAACTGGAAACCACAAGTTTAATTGTAATAGGTGACTAACTACTAACATTTCTTTTTATCTTAAATAGTTTGTAATAATAACTTTCAAGGACTAGCAATTTTGCATTACATTGTTAAATAATATGTATAGGTACAATACATTGAACAAGACTAGAAATGTATGCACAGTATGTTCAACAGTAGTATATTCTAACAAAAATAATCTCAAGTTTGTATCAGCATACAAAGGTTCATATCAATGTAAAGTATTTTAAACAAGTAGTTGCTTTTTAAAAGGAGACTGAATAATCTATCCTTTTATACCCTACTATAGTTTCTCCTGAATTTTTTGTTCTCTCTTCTATAGCTGTTCTGTCATCCAGAGCAGTATGGTTTCTTACAATAGGTTCTTTAATTGCTCTGGGAAGGAGTTTTCTCCATGATAGGAAATGATTGAACCAAATTTGACAAGGGGGCCTGCAAGAGGCCCCCCAAGGCATTTCCCAATGTCAAAGGGTTAACCTGACAGTCCCTTGTTGATCTAAATTCCTAAATCCAATGTCAGCCTTTGCCACACCTTCTGCATACTCCAGAAGGGAGGGGTCTTCTGATCACATTATTCCTGAATAAAACAATGTTTCTAGGAAAGCCCTGTTTACACTCCCTTTTCAGGTGACCTTGTTTACAAAATTGAAACATTTGACATTTTGATTTTTCTTCAAACCTCTGAAAATCACCTCTCTTATCCAAGAATCATCATAGTTATACGATTCAATATTGATTGTATCTCAGATCCATTCCTCCAAGGGTGTGGATCTTGCCTTTAATAGGCTAATTACCCTTTTGCATTGTGCATTAGCATTTTCAAAAGCCAGAGATTCAATTATTATCTGTCTAGCTTCTGAAGTCAATCTTTGTAAGAAATCAGTGAAGGTTTCTTTCGGGCCCTGTATGACTTTAGTAAATGACTCAATTTTCTTTCCTATTTCTTCAATTCTGTCCCAAGCATTCAAGGCTGCCGTATGGCATAAAGAGAGGGTGTGGTCATCATACAGAGATTGCCTTTCTACATCAGCATTTTTAATGTGGGAAAAAATTCTCTCTTTTAACTAATTTCTCCCTTTAAGAATTCGCAATTGTCTCACCAAATCTGCCAATGATAAAGATTCAGATGACGGTGAAGCATGGGGCTGACTGCTCTACATAGAACAGTCAAAGCCCTAGCAGTTTTCAAGGCAGTTACCTAGTGTGGCAGCATCCCAAGGAGGGGTCCAGGGAAAGGCCACAACCCACCAGAGGAGAAGAAGTCAAAGCGCCAGCCCTCTCCACAGGAGGAGTGTATGAAAGCAGCTAATTCCTGCGGTTTTGGGAGCCCAAAAGCCTACAGAGTTTGCTGCAGATACGCTGCAACAGAAAAATCCCAACTCACTCAGAGGCTTGAGGAAAAGAAGGGAAAACCTTAGCCAGCAGGGTAGTTACTCCAGTCCTGTGCAGCTCCGGCCTGTGCTGGTGACTGCAAAGCCACAGGAAAGCAGCTTTTCATGAATTTGTGCCCCAAAAGTTGGACTCCAGATGTGGCACCAATTCTAATTGGTCTTAATAATAAAATCCCGAGCCAGAAACTGGGGTAAATGCTGAAAGATCAGAGAGACAAAGGAGCAAGCCACAACCACTGCTTACCTCCCCTGACTCCTCAGCCTGAAAGGGGGCGAAACTCCCGTCTCCGCCCACCTTACATTCTTCTCTCCACTAAGCCATATCACTTCCTGTTTCCTCCTCCCTAGTGCTGGGATCAAAGGCCTGAGATCCCAAGTGCTAGTATTAAAGGTATGTGCCATCACTGTCCTGCTTCTATGGTTAAGTAGTGGCTTAGCTCCATTCTCTGATCTCCAGGCAAGCTTTATTTGTTAGAGCACAAAGTATCACCACAGCAAACACAGATTCAAGGCAAGCTCAGGCTACACCCACTCTATCTCAAAATATAAAATGTGAAAACAAAATAAGAAGCCACTATGATATCTATTTTTTAAAGTTGTTATGAGAAATATATAAGGAAATATACAGAGGATATAACTCAGTAAAGTCATAATTCATAATAAATATATAAAACGAATATAAGTTTCTACTACTACTGAACCTTATATTTAACAGAAATGACTTCTTACAAAACTAGGAACTTACCTTCAGTGGCTCCATCTTCTGGACATGAAATTATCCTGCTACAAAACCTGTCTGCTACATAGCCACGTCCATCTCTCTGTAATTGAGGGAGGGTCTTATCTTCGTCTGAGAAATCACTTCCACTTGAACTCCATGTGATATCTGCCACCTCACTAGGACTCTCACCTGCTGTTTCTGCTACAGAAGAAAAGACAAATATCAGCTGACAGTTGTTATTTATCTAAATGAGATTTTATGCATATTAATTAGACAAAACCACAATCACAAAAACTCTAAAGACAATGAAAACAATGTTGTGGTACATCTTCTTACACAATGTTCTATGAGCAGTCCCACACAGATTCTCTGAATTAAAGCCAAGGACAACAGCTGGGGTTCAAATAAGTTATAAGAGACAAATTAAAACAGAAAGAGATAAGGAAACAGTAATGGACATAGGCCTCAGACCCTAAACATTGTTTACAGAAATATGTTCCTTACTTATATTTTCCAGCTCTCATAAAAAATTTTGTTCCTCAACCTTCTAAATAAATGTGGCTGGGTTTTGTTATTTGCTTGATTCTTATTTTGGAGGGTGGGGGCTGTGGTGGTGGTGGTGGTTGTTGTTTGAAACTTTATCTTGGAATTCCTACCAATATGCTACTTTAAACTCATTTTAGGAGCTGCTATTTTAAAAATGAACCAGTTCTAGGAAATGCTTTACATACCTTTTCCCACTGACCTCTTTCCTAAGCCTTTTATGTCTCTATCTTGGCTTACCTAAAGCCATATTATAAATAGAATACACTGGTACAAACTCTTTGAGCCTTTCAAAATATACTGTGTATCATCTATATAATAAAAAACATTATGAGTCAAATATGTTCTGGTCTGAGAAAATCATTTCAAAAGAGCCTCCTGTAATTAAATGCAAGTAGCAATTTATTTAACATTTAGTTTTCTCCCAAAACTGAATATACAACTCCAGAAAAATACATAAACTACATTTATTTTAAAAAGCACACCTTTTTCCATATACCATATTTTAAAAATTAAACACAAATTGATACAAATATAAGAGCATTTGGCACTAGTAGAAAGAAATATATAATTCTGTACTACTAGTAGATATTTCAAAAAGACTTCTGCCAATTTATTGTATATGACAGTGTTTTATAAATTTTAAAGGGACAGTTTTGCATAGAAAAAAAAAACACAGGCTATGGAAATAGCTCAATCATTAGAGGGTTTGTCTAGAGTGCATGAAACCCTGAGTTCAAACCCTCAGCATTCTCTAGTAGAGCACAGTGGTGCGTTCCTGCTTTCCCAGCATTCGGGAGGTAGAGGCAAGAGGATCAGCCTCAGTTACACAGCAAGTTCAACATCAGCCTGAGTTACATGAGACATCTCAAAAGAGGGGGAAAGAAAAGAAACCTGTGAAGGGAAATGAAATGATAATATGGCTTAGAATGTTTAGTCTCTGGATCATATAGTTACTCCAGCACACAGAATTTTGGGCAAGCACACACACAGCTCTTTATGCCATCAGACACAACAGCAACTGTCGGCATTAACGGAGAACCTTGGAAGTAGGAATTTTACCTATCTTCCTAGCTCACTTAGTACAATGACCAAGAAAACCCTCAATCTTAGGCCTATTTCCCAGATGCAGAATCTGAGATTTGAGCATTTAGCTTGTTTTCCCAAGATCAGTGAAGACTGAAAGACCTCTTCTAACACATCTCCATAGAGATGGGAAGATGATAGTAACCTGTTATATATACCACTCTTCTCCATTACAACCAACTCCAATTTTACTAGCAGCAATATGCACATATAAAAATCCCTACCTTCATCACACCATCTTTAGTGGAGATAACTGGTAATCTATGTGACAGGTTCTAGCCAAGGTCCTACAAAATGTCTATCTCCCCCAAAAAAGCAAAGTTCATTGGATGAAAGCCAACATTTTCCTCAAGAATTTGACCTATCACCTTTCACCCAACAGAACCAACCCCATATCAACATAACAGAGCTCAAAATAGCTGGACTCTGGATGTCTTCCTGCAAGAGATAACATCAGTCCCTTTTTTATGAACACAGTTTCCTTGTATTTATAGTTAGAAAGTATCTACAACTAATGCACCAAGCAAAAAAATTGCGGTTTGTCGCAGTGGTTCCTACAGTGTAAGTCATATATTTATTTTCCATGTGAATATTTTTATGGTATCAGAATTCAAACCAGACCATGTGGTTCCTCAATTATTCATTATTGAGTTCTAAACCTGAGCTATCCTATTAGATCAATGGTTCTCAACCTTCCTGATGCTGTGACCCTTTAATACAGTTCTTCATGTTGTGTGACCTCAACCATAAAGTTATTTTCACTGCTACTTCATAATTGTAATTTTGCTATTTATTAATCATAATGTAAATTTTTTTTTCAATGGTCTTAGGTAATCCCATGAAAGGCAGTTGATTCTGTTGTTAAAGTAAACCTAGTAAGGACACCAAAATGTTAGTAGTCCCCAGTAAGACAAAGAAGAACAGAGATGACAGAGATGAAAAACAAGTTCTCAAACGTACCTTTTACATTGCCAACCCTGAATATACAAATTATCCAAACTGTGCGGTATGGTGATATTTTATTTGTGCTGAAATGTGATTTTATTTGTATGTTAATAAATAAAGTTGTCTAGGAGTCAGAACTAATAGCAAGCCATTTAGAAGAAGTCTGGCAATCCAATCACATGGCAGGCAGAGTCTGTGTGTTCAAGGACATAGCCAGCTTGGTGACACACACATCTTTAATCCAAGTACCAACCATAGAGACCTGGAGGTCTGTATAGACAGGCAGTGATGAAGAAGTCATGTGGTTGGGTTTACAACCAATGAGAAGGCAGAACAAAAAGTCAATAAAAATACAGACACACAGGAAGTAGGTCTCTCAGGGGAAGGACGGCAGCGGCTGGTAAGTAAAGGCTATTCCCTAGTGCTCTGACCTCTTGGTCTTTTAACCCTTTATTTGGCTCTATGTTTCTTATTTAATAAGACTGTTTAGAATTACATCTACAGTGCAACATCGTAAAAAGATAAAAAAAAAAAATCACAGAAAAATAGCCTTAAGCCTCATCTGTCAATAAATGAGCATATTAGGGTTTAGGACTTTAGTTCAGCAGTAGAATGCTTGCCTATAAATCTAAGGACTCCAAAGTTATGGTCTCTAAGAAGGGGTAAAATAATTTAATAAATAAATAAATAAACACAATATTGTTACCTTTCTTTGGACTTGGAAATAATTCCAGGGACTTTCCAGTGATAGCTGTCTTTTCACTTGCTAATGACTGTAGGCAAAATAATAAAAATAATTTAACATGGTTCATGTGAAAAAAGGCTAAACACCAGTACTATTTTGTAAAATATTCAGTAATAAATTATACCATCCTTGATGTATTCTTCTGCTTTTCTTTTTAATATTCACCAATTGAGTATTCCTAAAACATGTAGTCCTTACAGACACACAAATTATTTTCATATTTTTCTAGACTCTAAGCAGAGTTGTTGAAACATTTCACATAATAGTCAATGTTAATGATTTCTCATATATATGACTAACCACTCATTACTACCTATAACCATATTATCTTTAGTTTATAAAAGCATTCCTCTGTAACTTATAAGATATATAAAAATTAACTGGAACTGAACTGACATTCCATAAATATAATCCTTATAAATAGTAGTATGCTCAATAATTTCATACCTGTCAGCATTCTCGGTGTGCATTCTTCATTTTCAAACAAATAGAAAGACTCTACAGAGACTATGGAGGGAAATACTAACTTGACCCAACTACTAAAGGAACTCAAGGCATGAAAAAGAAAAGTAGTGCTTTGAAAAATAAGAGAATTCCAAAGAAACTAGCTACAATAGCTAGATACCTGGGATCTTCTGCAATCATGAAAACAATTTCATAGCTCTCCTACCAGGGTCTCAGAAGTGTCCTGAAATCCTTCTCCACACTTGAGCCATGCTTTAGAGAGAGAGGCAGCTGCTTCCACTGTCTTCAAATTTGCTCTTCTCCACTGCTGTGGCCTCTCTTCTAGAAAGGATGGGTGCTCTACACGCCAATTCCTTTTCCTCTGCAGAAGTGATTATTAAAGAAAGAAAGAAAACCAACTTGTTATAAAAATTAACAATTTAGAACCCAGGAATGGTTATAGTAAAAACATAGCTTTTGAATGTTATCAGAATCTTCACATGGATATAGCAACCAGATAGCAAAACCAAAAACCCACTGATAATTGGTCAACAAATGTCAAAGTAAGAGTGAGGCCAGACCACCACCAATCCTATAATGAACATAGTAAAAAATGCCTTTTAGACATGTACAAGTAGCTTAGTCAAGAACCCCACTACAACCAAGGCTGCACCTGATCACAAGAATTCAGTGATGTCACTAACACAAGATAAGCAGGTACAGTCCTAGAACCCCATGATGTCCATTAGAAGTATATATGCAGAGACGAAGAGCAATGGTGTGGAGAGATGCCACTTTGATCTGCCCTGCAGCTGGAGAGTCTCCCCCAGGATCCTGACCCTCCAATCAGAGACTTCTGTTAGAAACTGGACCTGACCTTCAGCTAAGATACATCGCACAGGTAAGCAGCCTTGGGAAGATAGGCTTAGGACCGTAATTACGAATTTAGAGTATGGAGTTGGCATGATAACCCTCAGCATAACAAAATATAACTTTTGTTATACTAACTGCGGATATCTACCTTCTTGCAGTTGGCATAGTCAGCAAGATCTTGGACGATCCTTAGAAAAGGTGAAATGAAGGTGGCTTCCTGCTATTCCAAGGACATCCCCAGACTCGCCCCAGGGAAAAGGGTGAATTCCTTCCTGACTGCAGGACTTCCCTTCACAAAGGCACAGGCTTCTGCCTTAAGACTGGGTAAGTAGCAGAGAAATGGTAGCAGGAAGGAAAAAATGTAGCATGAACTAACTCCCACAAAGGCAAGGGCGTGTAGCAGGAGCAGTTCTCTCAGTTACATGAGGGACTGGATAGCCAAGAGAATAGTTGAAGGACAGATCTTATTTGAAAAGCTGGCAAATCAGACCTACTCTACCAGCAACCTAAATTTGTACTTCAGAAAAAGAGAAGTCAAATTCCTCTATTATTTGGCAAACACATTGACAAAATGAAGAGAGTGATATGAGGAACTAAGAAAATGGAATGTAAAGGATGAGAACAGTCCTGAGGGTAGATGGGACAGAAGATGTCACTTGGTTCTTTCTTAGTACCTAGACTCAAGAAAGAACCTAAAATTGATATTCTATTGATCACCCCAGTGTTCAGTGAGCCCTTGTAAGAGGGCAGACCCCTCAGGGGTCCCCAGGTTCTTATGCAAAATAATTAAAGACATTGACTCTGATAGAATGAAAGACAAACAGCTAACTAGAAACTTGGCAGAAAAATGGAGAAACAGCCCATTCAGAGAGGACTTGGATGCACCTGATAAGGTCCTAGTCAGCTGCCTCAATGATACCAGGATCTCTCTACCAGTGACTTCCAGTGAAGTTAGGACTACTTCTAGTTGGTAAACCAACAATATTCCTGAAACCACTGAAGTAGAATCCAGATCATTTACAAGAACAGAGCTACAGCAAATAAGACAAAATTTTACACAAAGAGGAGATAAAGATACAACCAATGTAGCCTGCTTATGGGAAAAGGAGCTGATACAGTAATGTTAATCTCAGAAGAAATGAAGGGAATCAAAGGGACTCTAGAAAATTCCCACATATTTAAAGGTCTGGAATGAATTTTAGATACAACCAGAGAGGAAATCCACCCTTTATTGGATTGGGTAACGCTTCACGGAGGCAGGCGTCCCCCACCCTTGATCTAACTCAATTCAAGGCAGAAGAACAACGGAAAAATATGAAAAAAGCAATTGAACTGGCTAGAAAGTTGGGTATACTTTACTTAATTTACCATAACAGCCCAGCACCACCGGCTGTGCCACTGCTCCCAGGCATAAGGAAAATTCTAATTAAGGACACCCCTCCACACTTGAGAATGGCACTGACATCAACTCTAGCCAACTGCCAAACTGTTGGAGACACTATTAACTTCTTCAAATAGACTAGAGAACTGACGACAGATAACATAGTATCCCTCCAGTCTAATATACAGAATCCAACCCAAACCAGCACCATGGAAACACGTAAAAGGTGGCCCTTTTTTAGGCAGAGGCAGAGCAAGACCACACATAACCCTACATTCTTTCAAAAAAATTGGTGATGTAAGACCATTTGGAAGATGAGATCAGATACCAGTAAGACAGCCACAAGGGAAAGATTCAAAAACAGATTCCTAGGCAGACCAAAGAATGTATGGAATCAACAACCCTGGAATCAAGGAAGGACACCAGACCCTTCATGCAGATCCCAACAATGATCAGGGAACTGGTCCAACAGATAAATTGGCTGGAAATACAGGAAGTGAGGTGACAATTTGCAACCCCTATCTCCCCTTACCAAATCCCCAAAATTATGTAATTACTGAAGGAGTAGCAGGAAAACCATTTAAAGCAGGAATAGAAAATATCAGTCTATAATTTATCTCTAAATATTCCCACACTATTTACAACAGCACCTAATTGTGTCCTAGGGATGGATGTCATACCAAAATTATTTCCCCAATGACATTACATTAAAAAACCTAAATCCAGGCAGAGGCAGGTTAGGCCTGGCAGCGGCCGGCAGAGGCGGGTTGGTCCAGCGCCGCCGGCGGCAGCCAGTCTTTTCTGTGTCAAACACACAGATTGCAAGCCCAGTGCCACTTTGAGATCTTTGTCAGCAGTTAACTCTGCAGCTCACACACGATTGAGCCTGTATGAAAATGAGTATTCAGAGATGGGTAATGCCTCGGAGGCACTCACCAACCAAAGACAGAGCACCTGTGTGGCCTGGGCAGGCGTCTCCATGACAGGTAAGGTAACCTGCTGACGTTCCATGCAACCCAAGTCAGAAGCTCATTTTTTAATAAAAGGGGGACCTGTAGGTCCCTGGCCCCCATTTTGGGTAACTGTTGCCTTGCTTGCGGACCTTGACCTTGATATCCTCCCTATGCTAATTCCCTGCCAAGTTCCACCCTCCTGAATGCTTAAGAGAAGTTCCTTGTCTGTGTATCCTGAATAATTGGTGTTAACAGCTTAGATACAAGATTGTAAAATATCAGTAGCGAACTTCTGCTCTCCGGGGTTCTCCCATTGTGCTGTAAGCCTGTATTTAAGACCTCCTCCCTCCTTCAATAAATGACATTCGGCATTTAATATATATATGTATATGTATATACATATATATATAAAAATGAATACTGCGAATGTAATCTATGAATACCACAAATGTGATTAATATCATGAGTGTAAGTAATGAATATCATGAGTGTAATTTAAAAAATAAAAATTTTAAAAAAAGTTACCAACTTTACAAAGAAGTTGTTTGTAAAGGGCAGTTACAAACGTGGAAATATGACTAGGCAGTTTCCTGAAGGAAAAAAAAATGACACTGAGATTTTAATACATAAGAGTGTGTGCAGATAACAAATCATTGCAAAATAAAAAAAAAAAAATCTTAAACCCTTGGACTGTAACATCCCCAAGTACAAATTCCTCTTATAGAGTTCCCTAAAATCAAGGGATCATTTACCAAGCAATACCCTATCAAGGGAGGTGAAGAAAACATGACTAACACTGTAAATAAATTATTGAAGGAAGATATTATTGAACCTATACAATCTTTCAATTTCATAGTCTTGATTGGCCAGTAAAGAAGCCAAATGGTCAGTGAAGAGTCACAGCACACTATAGGAATATTAATCAGCTTTCTCTACAAATGCCAAGAAGTTTACCTGATGTAGAAGATATAGTCTTAAAGATTAGGAATTACAACCCAAAATTCTTTGGTAACATAGACTTATCAGACATGTTCTTTAGCATACCACTCCATGTGGGCTCTGAGACATTACTACTTTTACCTGGAATAATAAACAACACAGATTCAAAAGAGTGCCTCAAGGCTGTAAGAATGGCCTGATCATTAGGCATGTGACACTAAGATGGTCACTGGAAAAGCTACAAATAAGATTGCTTACTTTTACGCTATGCATATGATACTTGATTGCAGAATGCAATAAGGACACTGCTCAAAACTATATGAAGACAGTAATTGATACCGTGGTACATGATGGCTGGACCATTAATAAAGACAAGGTGAAAGGGCCAGATACCTCAATCAAGTGTGTTATGGACATCTGAAGGAACCAAGGTCCTATATTGTACAAGATTCTAAATATCCCCCCACCCAGGGACAAAACCCAGATGCAACACCTAATTGGTGTGTCTGCATACTGGAGGAACCATATACCATATTTACAGATTATCATGAAACCCCTCTATAGGGTTACCAGAAAGGCAGCTGATTTCCAATGGGGACAGAAACAAAGAGAAGTTTTTGCAGCTGCCAGTAAGCTCATCTCTAAGCATGCAACCCTGACCAATACTGAACAAGATGATACCTTAATTGTGGATATCTATGGATATCATATTTATTGGTCAATGTAGAAACTGGGGACTCTTCATAAAGCAAAAGGAAATCCACCAACAGTTGGGTGTTGGCTTCTTCTGCAAATACTTCTCATAGGCGGAGAATACTCTCTCTTTGAGAAACAAATCTGGACATTTTATGAGGCATGAAGAACCCTATATTCAGTCATTGCCAACCACCCTATGGTCATAAGGATGCCCATTCCAATGATGAATTAGATCCGCTCAAAGGCAGAATCCTTCACAGGCTTAGCCATGGAAGGAAAGGTATTACAGTGGAAATGGTAACTATCGAATTCTTTTATGACCAGGATGTGGTAGCAAAGGGGTCTGTGCCTTCCTGCACTGAGGAAATAGCTCAGTTGCCTATAATCCCTGTCCCTAAACCATTCAATCCTACCCCAAAATTGGCACCTATTGAACTGTGGTGACCAACAGAATGATCACAGCATTTAGCTGCATGGTTTACTGATGGCTCATCAAACACCGATAAAAACAAAACTAAATGGAAAGCAGCAGCCTATAGA